TCCGCCGTGCTTTCATGAAGCGGAGCAAAAGGGCCTGGAAGGCAGCAGATCGAGAAACCCAAGTGGTTCCTTTGGGGGTGGGGGTGGGGGTGGGCAGGAAAGGCCTGGCAAGAGAAGGGTTCGGGAGGCTTCCGTAAGCAGAAAGCAGGTAAGCTGGAAGGCCTTGGCAAAGATACCTCTTCAGCGCGGGCCCCAGGTGTCCCCTCGGATCTGCGAAGTCGGTTTTGGTTTTGCAGCGATGGGACATGCCCCTGGCTCCAGACCTGCGCCAACAGGGCCACCGCCTCCATCCACCCTAAGTTGTGGTCCGGCACCTGAGGCAGCAGCGTCGAGGCTCCATGGTGGGCGGCAGGGCCCAGTCCCGGAGGCCACAGACCCTTCTTGCCCAACTGCTCAGTGGGGAACCGCAATCCAGCGAGACCCCCCAACTCCTCCGGGTCCCCTTTTCTACTGTCTTACCCTCCCTCCCTGCCCCAGCCGAGACGGTCAGGACCCCTGTGTCTAGTCTTCCCGCTTTGGGTCACTCTCTAGGGTACTTGACCAAGTCCTTCGTTAGAACCTCTCTCTTCCGCCCTCTCCCCATCCCAGCAAACCAACAAAGCTTAACCCCATCATTCCATAACCCAGTAATACCTCTGCAGGGCTGTGGCCGGGGCTGGGCTGGCGGCCTTCAGAGGGGGTGTCGGGGGGAGGCATGGTGGGCGCGTGGGGCCGGGCGGGGTCCTGCTGGGGCCCCGGAGATCGGGCGGGTGCAGGCTCCTGCTGCATGGACCCCAGCTTAGTTTCGATTCTCGGTTTCGATCTTGGAGGGCGGGAGGAAACGTGAAAGGGAGACGTGAGCCAGTTGGCAGAGCCCCTAGGGCGGTCGGAAAGGGGAGGTGCCCGTTCAGGGCCCGCCTCTGGAGAGGAAGTGAGACAGAAGCTGGGGGCGGTTCTAGGGGCTGAGAGGCAGACGGTGGGTTTTAAAGACACGCCCAGAGCGGGAAGAGGGGAGAGGCTCGGGGGCCGCAGACCCACACCTGACTTACGGTAAAGCGGGAGAGGCAGGGCGGAGCTGCAGGGGGCAGCGTCGCCCCCGGCTTTGATCCGTTCATCAGTTCACACTGGCACTGCCTCTTGCCACCTCCTGCTGGGAGCTGGGCGCCCAGAGCTGAGTCACACGCGCGGCCCCTGCTTTCAAAGAGCCCTAGATGTAATGGAAGAGCAGGCCTGCAAACGGAGACATTCTGGAAAGGAGAGCCGTGAACTGGGGCCTGAAAAAGCAGTGGGAATTCCCCAGGGATTCAGGGTTGTAGGTGGGGGGGTACAGGCGACACTTGAAACAGAAAGGATAGGCCGGGTGCGGTGGCTCATGCCTGTAATCTCAGCACTTTGGGAGGCTGAGGCAGGCGGATCACCAGAGGTCACGAGTTCGAGACCAGCCTCGCCAACATGGAGAAACTCCGTCTCTACTAAAAATTAAAAAATAGTGGAGTGTGGTGGCACACGCCTGTAGTCCCAGCTACTCGGGAAGCTGAGGCAGGAGAATCGCTGGAGCCCAGGAGGTGGAGGTTGCAGTAAACTGAGATTGCATCACTGCACTCCAAGCTGGGCAACAGAGTGAGACTCCATCTCACAAAAAAAAAAAAAAAAAAAAAAAAAAAAAAAAAAAAAAAAAAGAAAGAAAGAAAGAAAGAAAAGAAAAATAAACAGAAACAGAAAGGATACCTCTGGCAAAAGGCGTGGAAGTTTGAAACACAAACACCTGTTTGGGAACTAGTTTTGGTCATTTTCAGATTTAAGAGAGAATTCATGAGAAATGATGCCCAAGGAGTGTGCTGAGACAAGATCTTAGCTAAGGAGATTGGACCAGGTCGGTGAGTGATGGGAAGTTGGTGAGGGATTTCGAACCAGGGAATAACACGATCATCGGTGCATGCTGGGACAGTCATTCTGACAACCTAGGGGCAAGTGGCCTGTGGACAGTGGCTGTGGGATGCAGAGGAGGGACTTGAGCCAAAGACCCTAGGAAGCCAGTGACTGGAGGTCAGGGAGCAGGGATGCCTTGAGTGACAGCTGGAAAGGCTGGTGGATCTGAGGTGGTGGGGGCAAGAGGGAGGGGGAGAGCTGGAGAGCAGGTATGAAGAGGGCAAAGGGAGAGCCAGCTAGGTCTTGACCAATGGAAAAACATGCCAGACTCCCAGCTGGTAAGGCGAAAAGAGCAGAGCTCCAGGTGACCTCACTGGGCCACTGCCCCTGGCCTCAAACTTAAATCATCACAACCACTGTGCTGGCCCCTGTGTACCCATTCTGTGCTCTGCTCCAACTTAGAAATAGACTAGAAAGGATGGTAATAGGGCCTGGCTCTTGCAAAGCTTATAGTCTGTAGGGTGGAGGGCAGGGGTTGGGGGGGACTGTACAGACCCAACTTCCCAGGGACTGTAAGAGGCCTCAGGAGCCTGCCCTTCCCTCCAGCTTGGTCAGTACTCCCAGGCCTTTAGAGAACCAGTCCATTAAAGCCAAATATGGTGGGCTACCATCTGCACAAGGGACCTGGAAGTGAGCTCTGGCAGGATCGGGCTGCAGAAGCCCGAGGTGGTTGGCTGAGGAGGCAGGGCTGGGGAAGCTTTATTCATTTCTTTGCTTGCTTTGGAAGATAGCTTGCTCCCAGACTGCTCAGTGTCCTGTTGGAAGTGAATACTTCTCAGAGTAAATTCGCAATTTGCATTCGGGTCTTCTCGAGCCCTGGAGAGGCAAGTTAATTCCAGGTACCCGGATCAAGGGGCCTGCGTGTTTCTGGATGCAGGACTGCGGGGCTCGCCTTCGTGGTGCTCTGGGGCCCCTGTCCTCATGTAGCTCTGTGCTATCCCCTTCTTCCTTACTCCCCCATGCTCCCCCAGGTCTGCATGAGAAATTTCTTTCTTTTTGTGCCAAAGTTCAGGCCTTCCTGGTCCACCTTGGTCACAGTGACTCTATGCCAGGTGCTGCTTGCTGGGCAGTGGGTTCACAAAGACGAATAATTTGCAGACCATGTCCCAGAGAAAGCCGAAGTCCAGATATGGCATGCCCTGCCTCCAGTGTGAGAGAAGGAGTGCTGAGAAGGTTGATACAGCATGTCCTTGATCCTGGAGAAGATTCGCTTCCTGAAAACCCTGATGAGATCTTGCTCTCTCGCCCCGGCTGCAGTGCAGTGGTGCCATCATACCTCACTGCAGCCTCAAACTCCTGGGCTCAAGCGATCCTCCCGTCTCAGCTTCCCAAGTAGCTGGGACCACAGGCAGGGCACCACCACGCCAGGCTAATTTAAAAAAATGTTTAGTAGAGATAGGATCTCACTATATTGCTCAGGCTGGTCCTGAATTCCTGGCCTCAAGCGATCTTCCTGCCTGAGTCTCCCAGACTGATGGATTATAGGCATGCGCCACCGCGCCCAGCTTCCCCTCCAGCTTTTCTAAGGCTGGGTAGAAGAGGCAAGGAGGCGGTGACTCCAGCGGGCTCCCGGGAACGCCGACCACACCCCTTAGTCCTCGGCCGCAGTTCGGTCCTCCCAGCGCAGGGGGCGCCGTGCGACGGCGGGAGCGGGCCCCTGCCGCCCTCCTCCTCCTCCTGCGCCCGCGCCGCCGCCGCTGGCTGCGCGGGGGAAGCCGGAAGCAGCAGCCAGCAGGGCGGGGCCGCCTGGGGCCCGCTGGTCAGGGCGGGCGCCGAGCGGAGGAGCGGGGCGTGTTCCCTGTCAAGAGCCATGCTCGGGAGGTCTGGGTACCGGGCGCTGCCCCTGGGGGATTTTGACCGTTTCCAGCAGTCGAGCTTCGGCTTTCTGGGCTCGCAGAAGGGCTGCTTGTCCCCGGAGCGGGGCGGCGTGGGGACGGGGGCGGGTGAGTGGCCGCCCGGCAATCCCCAGGCCTGAATCTCTGCCTCTGTGGAGTCGGCCGGCCCGGCGCCGCCGCACCCTACGTGGGGGGACTGAGAAAGGGATAAGATGTGGAGACGGGGCTGGATCGGGCGCCAGGTGCTAGCGCCGATCCGCCCTCCCGAAGGTCACGGGGCTGTGGCCCCAGAGCCAGCCAGCGTTGCGCCCATCTTCCAAAACGTCACCTCCCCGCGCTTCTCCTCGGCTCTTACCAGCCCTTTAGGCCTGGGAAGACGTTTCAGCTTCCTGTTGGGCATACAAGAAACAGGTCTAGGTAGAGGAGGCCACCAGCACCCTAAAGGCACCTGCTGCACAGAAATGGAAGAATTTTCACCCTAGGGTGCACCTCTAGAAGCCTGGGAACTAGACATCTACTGGATGTGCAGGCCAAAAAGACAGGTCCTCAGCTGCCTGTTGGATCTGCCCAGCTTCTGTCTTGTCCTCAAAGTCTTCTGTGGCTCCTTTGGCCCAAGGCCAGATCCCATGCTGCTCAGCTTGACCACCTAACCTTGGATTTGATCCCTCCCTGGCCTTCCTGTTCTGACAGCTGTCCCTACTCAGAACTCTTTTCAGAGGCCTGATGGATCAGAGCCAGGCACCAAGTGGAGCCTCAGTGCTCTGGGGCTTAGCCCAGAGGGCAGGGCTTCCTGGAAGAATGGAGGAGAGGCTCTTGACTGCTTCCTGTCCAGGGTTGGGAGAAGGAAAGCAGCAGATAACCTCATCCCAGATTCTGGAGCTGTCTCAGCTTCACTCCCATCCCCTGCTCCTGGTTCTCCAGGGGCCAGGACAATTGGCTTGGATAAACCTCACCTTTCTAGCCCCGCCCCCTCCCAACAATTTGCTTGAATTGAAATGGGCATTTTTTTTTTAATGGTCATTAAGGCATTAAAATAGGGTGAGGAATTGAAAAAAAAATAATCTTATTCCTCATCTGTGGCTCCTGTTGATGAGCCATTCATGCTTTATCCCTGTAGGCTGAGGCATCTTCATGACTCCTGGAAAACACACTTCTGGGGCTGATGCTATAGGAGGAATGTGTTTTGCCAGCAGCATTCAGTGGATGTTTACAGATGCTCAGGTGCTCCTGGCTCCTTGCCAGGTATGGATAGGCAATGTCAATCAAACAAGAGGATTGACCCCTCCCCAGTCCAGTGAGGAGAGCATCATCACATGGACTGGATTCTGAGACTGAATGGCTGTTGCCTAGCAAGAGAATAAGGCCTTGTGAGGGTTGTTGGACTTGGGACAGATGAGTGTGGATGAATGGGAGGAGGGAACAGACCCTAACTCACACCTGCCCAAAGGTATGGGGATATTAGACAAGGAGCCAAATGGAGAACCCTGAGAAGGAAGGAGCCTCTGGAAGGGAAGGTGCGCGTGAGGACATTTGCCCACGTTCACTCTACTTGCAGCTGTTCCGGCAGGTCCAGTTGACCACCTTTGCTCTCACCGCAGATGCACCCCAGAGCTGGCCCTCCTGCCTCTGTCATGGCCTCATCAGTTTCCTGGGGTTCTTGCTGCTGCTGGTCACCTTCCCCATTTCTGGCTGGTTTGCCCTGAAGGTAAGGCTGGCTGGGTCAGCCCCCAGGGTGGTTGGGCCACACTAAGAGAGAAATTTGCGTATCCTCTGCCCCCTTTCCCTAAATAGTATTACCCCTTTGTGAAATGGGCTTGTCAAGGATCATTAATTCCCATTGTTAAGGCGAGGAAACTAAGGCTTGGGCTTGTCTAAAGTCACACTGGGAGCCAACAGCGGGTAGAAACAAGTTCCAAATTCCTAAGTCCTGGCATCTGGACACTGGCTTTAAGGTGCACATAGATGTCTTTGCCAGATCATCTTCTCTTTGGGTTAGACTAACTTGGAAATGAAAACACCCAACTTATTAGCCCAGCAGGTAATGCATCATAGGAATTCAGGCCTCATTTTCAACAAGGGGTGGTGCAGTGGGAAAAGGAAGAATTGTGGAGTTGCAGTTCAGCATCACACGTGAAAGCCGTGGGGAAGGGGGAGGCCCAAGGAGGCCTTGCCCTTTGGCCCTAGGCAACAGTCCCCTTCTCTAGACAGCCTCTGGGTTTGGTGTGGTCTGCAAGGGAGTCCTTAAATGGCCCTAGATCCTAGTTCTAAAACTGCTACGGAAAGAAATGCTGTGTGACCCTGGGAAGGTTGCTTTGCCTCTCTGGGCCTTCATTTCTCAATTTGGACATCACTACTTCTTTAAGAGGTCCAGGGACCTAAAGTTCACAAAGTCCTTTGCCTCAGGGTGTTATTAGGGCAGCCTAGGCTTTTCTCCTAAATAATCCAAGGACTGACAGTTTGCTGGTGTGAGTCATGTTTAGCTTCAGACCACAGACATGAAAAGTTTCTCTAAGGATCAAGTCAATACAGTGCAGTGGTTAAGACACATGGCCCTAGCCAGGCGCGGTGGCTCATGCCTGTAATCCCAGCACTTTGGGAGGCCGAGGCGGGTGGATCACTAGGTCAAGGGATCGAAGCCATCCTGGTCAACATAGTGAAACCCGGTCTCTACTAAAATACAAAAATTAGCTGGGCATGGTGGCGCGTGCCTGTAATCCCAGCTACTCAGGAGGCTGAGGCAGGAGAATTGCCTGAACCCAGGAGGCGGAGGTTGCGGTGAGCCGAGATCGCGCCATTGCACTCCAGCCTGGGTAACAAGAGCGAAACTCCGTCTCAAAAAAAAAAAAAAAAAAAAAAAAAAAGACACATGGCCTTTGGAGTTATTCAGAGCTACATTCAAATCTTCCCAATTTCACTTAGGGGCTACGTGATTTTTGAGCAAGTCACTTAGCCTCTGTGGGCTTTCGTCTAAAAACAGAGCTAGGGATCCCTAACTGTGACCCGGGTGAGGAGGAGCGAAGGGAGGAAGGACGTAGGCAGATGACATTGGCCGGCCTGGGCTGACCGTTTTCAGCCCTTTCCCTTCCGTCGTGGACAGATCGTGCCCACCTACGAGCGGATGATCGTGTTCCGCCTGGGCCGGATCCGCACCCCCCAGGGACCTGGCATGGTGCTGCTCTTGCCCTTCATTGACTCCTTTCAGAGGGTGGATCTGAGGACTCGAGCCTTCAGCGTCCCTCCCTGCAAGGTGAGGAGCTTCTCAGCTGCCTTGAGAGGAATCGGGGACCTGTCCAGAATGTCTCGTGGTGCCACCAAAAATTGATGGAGGGGAGTGGGACATCCTGGCTTCATACACCTAATCCTACATACTTGGGGACACCATTTGCCCTTGAGGAGCTAGCCGCCAAGCATGCGGGTCAAGCTGGCCCTCGTGGGCCTGACCTCCCTGCACCCCAGCCCCTTGAGTGTCTCTCTCTCATGGTCTCCCCCAACAGCTGGCCTCTAAGGATGGGGCTGTGCTGTCCGTGGGAGCCGATGTCCAGTTTCGCATCTGGGACCCGGTGCTGTCGGTGATGACTGTGAAAGACCTGAACACAGCCACACGCATGACGGCACAGAACGCCATGACCAAGGCCCTGCTCAAGAAGCCGCTGCGGGAGATCCAGATGGAGAAGCTCAAGATCAGCGAGCAGCTTCTGGTAGGCAACGCCTCACAAGACGGAGCTCGGGCAATGGCACCGACCCGGCGCCACCTGCTGGGTCACTTTGAGCAAAGCATCAGACTGCTCCGGGCCTCAGTTTACCATATGTCCCAACTGTATAACCACCTTTGAAGAGCCAGTGTCTGGGTGGGGCTATGAGTTGAGGAATGGCAGGTGGGCAGAGACCATAGTGATCTTGGGCAAACATGTCCCTGAGAAGAGGAAGTGGCCCCGGCAGAAATTCTTGGGGCTCTGCCCCTGACTGCTGAGGCTTTATCCTTCGCTACTCTGCCGTGATGGTGCTGGCCTCTGCAGCAGCTCCCATTCTGGGCCTGACTCATGGGGCAGGCAGGTGGGTGGAGGAGCAGGGATCCTCCCAGCCCGGTTACCTGCTGGGGAATTCCGTGCTCACCTTGCAGCATGTGCCTTCTTGTGATTTGGGTTTCCTTGTTTGGAACAGAACAAAGGCACATGAGGACATTTGGATCCCTTTCCTGCCTCTTCTCCATGTGTGTACTGGAGTTTGCCTGAAATCTCTTCTGCTGAGTTGGGGTAGAAATACACATGCAGGCCACGTCCCTGCAGTCACACTCAGCTTGTGCCTTCCCCTGTGTCCTGATAGCGGCACATAGGTGACGTTTCTCCCCTTCCTCTTGGCTCTGCTTTGCCCTGGGGAATTGAGGTTAGAGGATAGGCAGGGGAGTGGGATACATGCCAGTCCTGGAGAGCCCACTGCAGGCAGCGAGCTGAAACCCCTGAGGAAATGCTATCTGAGATCCTAACAGTAGCTCCCATGTGCATAGCAGTTTATGGTTTACAGAGTCCTTTTGTCTGGCCCAGCATGTCTGAGCTTCAGACTTTTGTTGCAAGTTTGTATTACTGTTTGATTTTGGAGGGAGGAAGCTAAGGCTAACAAATAATTTGACTTGCCTCTGAGAGCTGCGGTCAAGGGCAGAGCTGAGCCAGGGCCAGACCACCTGCCTGCATCCCACCTGTCCCCTCAGTCCAGTGTCTGGCCTGACACAACTCAGGTAGCAAGTGGATAACAACTTTGACTCATCAAACCATGTCCCGTGTTAATTCACCTTTAGGAAGAGAAAGTTGGTCTCGGTCTTGTTGCACATGGCTTTGGTATGAAAGTGGCAGTTTGGGGAAGTCAGTCCCACACCAGGATGTGAGTCATTTAGGGCGCATTTCCCAGACTGAGTGGGCACCTGGTAGAGTGAGATCTATGGCTGTGGCTGAGACAGAACTCAGGGAGTCCGGCACACTGCCCTCGGGCCCTGACTGAGGCGTACACTTGCTCACATGCCCCTTTTTGCCTGATTTTCTTCTACAGAGTCCCCACCTCTCACCTGCTGGACCCTCCTTAGCCAGTCACCCACTCTTTCCCCGCCAGTGCTCCCAGCCAGCTGCCTCACGCCTTCCCTGCCCTCCTCCAGCCCCCACCCCTGCCCGTTGCTCTCTGCAGCAGGCCTTGCCTCCTAACGCTCAGGAGAAGACTCTAGGATAAGCGTCTTTCTGCTTCCTCCAGTTTCACCCTGCAAACCCCCCTGCCTCTGTGCTGCTTTCCTGCCTCCTTGCCTGGCTGCCTCCAGTCTCTGAGGCTCATCCCTGCACTGCACAGTGCTCTGGGTCCCCTGCTCTCCCAGGATGCCCTCCCTCCACTCCATGCACTCTCTCTCTCTGTCACTTCTCCTTTCTGTGTAGAAATGTGCCCTCCCTTTGCCCCAGGCCCCTCTATCTCCCATTCTCTGTCTCCCCTTTTCTTCTGCAATACTTTCATCCATGCCCCCAATCCCTGCCCCACATCCTTCATCTAGGCTTTCCTGGGCTCCCCGGCAGCACTGGCCAACATCACAGTGGCCTCTCACATGCCAGCCCAGTGCGCACCTCTCAGCCCTTCCCTTGCACCACCTGGTGGCAGCGTTTGACATGGTGGACCCAGGCCCAGCCCCCAGAATCCCCTGCATTTCCTCCTTCCCTGTCACCCCTGGTTACTGCCGTTTGTTCTCCTGCCCTGTAGTTTCCAGGGTTTCATCACTGGCCTTTTCTCATCTGTGACCTCCCTGGAAGAGCTCATCTGCCTGGGCTGTCTGCTGCCTGTGGACGCTCTTTATTCACAATGCCCTGGCCTAGCCCTGAAGCTCCTGGACCCTGGGCCATTCCTCCAGCTGCCTAGTAGACAGTTGACTGCCCCACCTCAAGCTTACAGTAGTTTTGTTTAAAAAAAAAAACAGTTGCCATCCCTCCCCACCCCCGTGTGTCCTCTAGTGAAGGCCACACTCATCCATTAGGGAGCCTGACTCCTCCCACTTCCGCCCCCTCTCATATCATTGCATGTCTAGGCACCCCCTACCTGGTGCTCGCACTTCCCTAGTGCCCTGGTGTGGCTCAGTAGAGTTGACAGGGGTGTGCCTGCCTCAGTGGATCTCGGCTTCCTAGCTCCCCTCCGCCTTCACCCGCTCAGCATCATTTCTTGGCTGTATTTTGAAAGGATGTCCTCTGTGGTCTCTGTCCTTCCCCTCCGCCCCCTGCAATCCAGCATCCACAGCAGCCAGGAGGATCTTGCCTGAAAGCAAGTCTGCTCTGTCACCTGCCTGCTCAAACTTCTCTCTGGGGCTCTTCGTTGCCTCAGAATAAATCCAAGTAAGCAGGAACACCCCACCTCTGACCCCTCAGCTGTCTCCAGTCCCCCAGCCAACACACGAGGGTCCCACCAAATGGAACTCTGCTTCCTCACAGCTCCACGAACATGCCAGGTTTTCTTGTCTGCGGTTTTGCACATGCTGTTCCTGTTGCCTGTAAGGGTCCTCCTCCACCTGAGGACCCCCTCCTGCTAGCACCACCCTCCTCTGCTGGGGGCTTACCATGGGCCTTGCTTCTGTCTTGGCACTTACCACAGCTGAGTGGTCATTGCCCTCTGCCTGTGTTCCCAGGCTGGGAGGTCTCAAGGGTGGTGTGGTGTCTCCATGTCCATGCACGGCCACACAGTCTGCCCAAAGGAGGTACTCAGGAAGGGTTTGTTGAATGAATTGCGTTTCTCCCCACACTGTCCTCCAGCTGGAGATCAACGATGTGACCAGGGCCTGGGGGCTGGAGGTGGACCGTGTGGAACTGGCAGTGGAGGCCGTGCTGCAGCCGCCCCAGGACAGCCCAGCCGGGCCCAACCTGGACAGCGCCCTCCAGCAGCTGGCCCTGCACTTCCTGGGAGGAGGCATGAACTCAGTGGCAGGAGGTACCCCATCCCCGGGGCCAGGTGAGGATCCCTGGTGAGGAGGGTGGGTGTACTTTGCAGCTTGGGGCACCCTAACCCAGCAGCTCTGTGCAGTACACACCCTGCACAGATGTTCAGCTCACGCTGACCACAGCCAGGGCAGTGAGAGGAGGCCAGGTGTCTGAGTGTGGAGGAGGCGACAGCACCAGAAGGGCAGCTGGACAGTTTTATGCGAGGCACGGTGGCTCACACCTGTAATCCCAGCACTTTGGGAGGACAAGGAAGGCGGATCACAAGGTCAGGAGTTCGAGATGAGCCTGGCCAAGATGGTGAAACCCTGTCTCTACTAAAGATACAAAAATTAGCTGGGCATGGTGGCAGCCACCTGTAGTCCCAGCTACTCAGGAGGCTGAGGCAGGAGAATTGCTTGAACCTGGGAAGTGGGGGTTGCAGTGAGCCAAGATCACACCACTGCACTCTAGCCTGGGTGACAGAGTGAGACTTCATCTCAAAAAAAAAAAAAAATAGTTTTGTATCTGAGTCTGGAGTAGTTTAGAAACTGGGCTTGGGGTTTAGGCTGAAAGCTCAGGGGCACCTTTCTAGCAGAGGAGGACGTTGAACAGAAGCCTGAAGGGAACGTAAGAGGAAACCTCCACAAAAGGTGTGGAGGATGCAGTGAGTGGTCCTGACCTTGGCAGCGCGATGACCACCTCTCTGCCTCCTTCCCCAACCCTGTTGGCCACCTCCAGCAGACACCATGGAGATGGTGAGTGAAGTTGAGCCGCCTGCCCCTCGAGCTGGTTCCGGGCCCAGTCTGAAGCAGCCTGTGGTGGAGGGGCTGCTGACTGCTCTACAGCCCTTCCTGTCTGAGGCCCTGGTCAGCCAAGTCCGGGCCTGCTACCAGTTCAATGTCGTCCTGCCCAGCGGCACCCAGAGCGCCTACTTCCTAGACCTCACTACAGGTGCAGCTGCCCTCCCTGCCCCTCCTTCCCATCCAAGTTGCCAGGTTGCTTGTTACCCACCCCCATGGTGCTCTGTAGACTGTCCCCTGCTCCTGCCAATCATTTGGGGTGAACCCATGGCAGGCAGGGGCTCTGACACCATTTCCAGGCAGTGACTGTCTGTGTCCTGGTCTCCCTGCCATCTGCAGGACAACGCAGCCAGGCTTCCAACACCAAGAAGCCTGCCCATGTTACAGGTGCTGCCTGCCAGGCCCTAAGCCAGGCATCACCTCACCTTCTTCTCACCATGAGCCTATGTTATAGGAATTTCAGCATCTCTAAAGGGATCAGCATTATCACAGATTTGGAAACTGAGGTTCCAGGAGTTTGCACAGCCAGTAAGACTCAAACTCAGAGTATTAGAACCTGAACTCTTGACCAGTACACTCCTCCCAATGGGAAATGCCAGCCCCTCTCTCCCCCAATAGCTCTCCTTCATGCTCCCCCGTCCCCCTACTGACACTTGGCTTTCTTTTCCCCCACAGGACGAGGAAGGGTGGGACACGGGGTGCCCGATGGCATCCCTGATGTGGTGGTGGAGTTGGCTGAGGCAGACCTACAAGCCCTGCTGTGCAGGGAGCTGCGGCCCCTGGGGGCCTACATGAGTGGACGGCTGAAGGTGACGGGCGACCTGGCCGTGGCCATGAAGCTGGAGGCTGTGCTCAGGGCCCTGAAGTAGCAGCCTTGGCTGACTTTCCATAGCCCAGTCCCAAGCCTGGCACCAAGCCCGAGGGGCATCTTGGAGATGTTCATCTGGACCACGGAGAGTTGAGGCCCTCACAAGTTTCAGGCCCAGCCAAGAGCACAGGGATGGAGGCTGGGAGAAGCTGGAGGCTGGGGGAGGCTGGAGGCTGGGGGAGGCTGAGTCCTGCTGCCCTGCACGTCTGCCCTACAGTGGTTCTCTGGACAAGCCTTTGCCCATCCTGGTCCCCGGCTGAGTGCCCAGCCCTGAGCTGGGTGCACGGTGTGATGCCAGGAGGAGAGCCAGACCGCCCTGCCCTGCCCTGCCCTGCCCTGCCCTGCCCTGCCCTGCCAGCTCCCTGACTGGAGAGGCAGGACACACAGAAACAGCCTGACAGCAGCTGGTCTGGTCCTTGTGTGAGGGATCAAGCACGTGGCCCAGGCTCTAAGCTCTGGGGGAGTTGGAGAGGGAGGGGAACAGGAGGGAAGGCAGTCTCCAAGAAGAGGTCACTGCGGTGGAGTTATCTGGGGATCCTGGCCGGCCCACCTTCCTGGCTGCAGTCCAGGCCCAGACTGGTGGGAGCGGGCACAGGAAGGAGAAGAGCCTGCTGTTCCCCTGCCACTGCTCCCAAAGACGTCTGACTCATAGGCCAGCTCCATCCTGCATGCCTGGTGAGCTGGGGTCCAGGGCAGCATGAAGGAGAGCCCTGCATTCTGTGCTTCTTACCAGAGGTTTGCAAGCCTCAGACAAATAAATGTGGTGTTTACAATGTATAGAAGAGAAGCCAAGTGGGGGTCCTGGGAGCATGAGGTGGCCTAGGAGGGTCCACAGGGTCCCTGCTTCCAGCCCAGGCAGGGATCGACATCCTGGTGGCTGACACAGACCCTCACAATATTTGAAGTTCTTCCTCCTGAGTGTCTCAAAGTCCCTGCAAGCAGGGGTGGGTCTGGGTGGGGAGTTCTCTGTCCCTCTTTGTAGTGGAGTACGGGTTCAGCAGGACAGGAAGGCATGAGTGTGCCAGAACTGGTCCTGCAAACACTGAGGGTCAGGTTGGGGGGGCGCATGTCTCATTCAAGAGGAGTTGGGGCCACTGCCAGCTGCCCTTCCTAGTACACTCTGTCGCTGCTTCTCCACTGAATAACAGGAAGGAAACAGTCATTGAGGCCTGGCCCCAGGCCCAGGCCAGCCCTGCTTTCTGCTCCAGTACTCCAGCCCAAAACCCCGGCCCCAGAGAAGGGGACATCTGACTTCTCCAGTCCTAAGAAAGGAATCTTACTCCCTGGAGAGGCTTCTGGGAAAAACAAAACCATAAAAACAGAGCCTTCCCTTAAGAGCAGCCCCCAGCCTGTCCTCTGGCACCGCATCTTCCCTCTCCCCGCAGGGGTCTCTCCCCTTCCTGGGTGCCTGGCTTTGTCTTATTTGCTCTCTGCCCCTGCCTTTGCCAGACACTGCCTTGTCCCTCATCCTAGACGTCCTCCACCTTGCCTGAGGCACCTCCCTAAAGCCCAGCACAGACTCCTCTGTCACTGCCATGGCCATTGAGGGGCGGGTTTCCAGGGCCCCTTCCTAGAGTCGCAGCCTGCTGCCCCTGCCGCTTCCCCCTTGCCCTCTCGGAGGCCTCTCTTGGGCCCCCGCAGGGCTTTCTAGCTGAGTCTATACGTTCCAAAGCCTGCCTTCCAGTCCCTGCAGCCACCCTTTGAGACCCAATGATACCTGTCCTCTATGCCCTTGACCAGCTCTCTGCACCCGTTCTGCACTGTGCGTTCCTGCTCCTTGACTATACGTCGCCTTCCCTGCTGGACTGGGAGCTTCCCACATCAGCGTTCATCTGTGGATTCCTTCCATCGCTGTTACACTGTGTGAAGGGCTGCCCAGAAGACCCCAGGCAGCTTCACAATGAAAGCTGACACTGCCCCTTGGCTGGGTTGGGGCTGGGGGGAAGGGGAGACAGGAAAAATAAGATCACAACTTAGGGGAAACCCAAGCTCATCTTTCCTTTGTGGGCGTGGGAAGATCGACATAACGTTTAGAGAAAACCGAAACTTTTCTTTGTAGGTGGAGAGTAAGGCCTGCCCCAGCCATTAATCCTTGGCCAGCACTCCAGAAACGGGGGCCCACGGGCTATGGCCCCTGGGCTACGGAGGGACTTAGCAGGCCTTGCAGTCCACAGGGGAGGGAGGACAAGGGCCACCTAAAGGGTCGGTGTGAGGAGGGAGGAGGAGGGTGTGTGTCAATCAGAGAAGGCTTCCCTGAGGAGGGGACATCACCCACACTCCAGCTACCAGCTAGGTGGACAATGAGAAAAGATGGGGAAAATCATTCAGCAGAGGGGAAGTCGCTGCAAGGGCACAGCTGGAAGGGGCAGCCAGGCAACTGGGCTTCCGGGAACTAGAACCGGGAGTACGAGACAGGTTGTGTGCGGGCCATTTGGGGGGCCGTGTATAGAAATAGTAACCATTACTGTGTGCCAAATATGTCCTGATACTGGACTATTATGTATTATGTTTTTTCAAGATAACCTGGTGCATAATGGTAATATTTATAGTATGCTGGTTAATATAAATATACAATGTGTTATTCTGATGTTATTTGAAAGTATGTTTTTTTTTTATTTTTGAGATGAGTCTTACTCTGTCACCTAGGTTGGAGTGCAGTGGCATGATCTCAGCTCACTGCAACCTCCACCTCCCGGGTTCAAGCAATTTTCCTGCCTCAGACACCTGAGTAGCTGGGATGACAAGCACACACCACCACACATGGCTAATTTTTTGTATTTTTAGTAGAGATGGGATTTCGCCATGTTGGCCAGGCTGGTCTGGAACTCCTGACCTCAAGTGATCTGCCTGCCTAGGCCTTCCCAAAGTGCTGGGATTATATGCATGAGGCATGATATCTGGCCTTATTTTTAACTATTAAAAAAAATTTATTTTGAGACAGTCTTGGTCTATCACCCAGGCTGGAGTGCAGTGGCATGATCATAGCTCACTGCAGCCTCGAACTCTGAGGTTCAAGCAATCCTCCTGCCTCAGCTTCCCAAGTAGCTGGGACCACAGGTGTGTGCCACCACAACCGGCTAATTTGTAAAATCTCTTTTATAGAGATGAGGGTGTTTCCCCTTGCTGTGCAGGCTGATCTTGAACTCCCAGGCTCACAGGATCCTCCCACCACAGCCTCCCAAAGTGCTGGGATTACAGGTGTGAGCCACTGTACCCAGCCAGTATTTAAAATTTGATTGGCTGAATATTTAAAAAGATAAGAAAGCATATTATGAAAATTGTCCTTCCATACATATTTCCCATGCCTTCCCCCACCCCCTGTGACTAGTTTCTCCATAATTCTTCCAGGAGATTTGTTTTGTTTTGCTTTTTTAACATATACAAGAAAATCCACCTATATATCCTCTGGGTTTTTGTTTTTCCTGTTGTTATACAAATGGCAACATAGAAACACAATGTTGCTTTTTCCCCTTAACATCACCCATTCAGGATCTTTCCCGGCTACCAGAGGCAGCCTTTCGCTGTTCTTTCTTGTAGGTACATAGGATTCCACAGTATGGATGCATCTTAATTTATTCAACCTGTCCTGGACTGATAGACATTTAGATTATTTCTTGTGTTTTGCTATTTTAAACACTTTTGCAATGAATAATCTTTAACATGTGCTATTTGTGGCAGAGTTTATCTATAAGATAAAATCCTAGACATGGAATTGCTGGATCAAAGCATTTATAATTTAGTAAATATTGCCAAAATACCCTCTCTGGGGATTAGACCAATTTACACTCCCATCGTCAGTGGTGTTTTTTTTTTTTTTTTTCTCATAGACGTGCCAATACACTGTGTTATTATACTTTTAGATTTTTGGACATTCTGGAAAGTAAAAATTTGTATTTCAGTGTAATTTTTGTGCTTATTGATCAATTTTTTTTTTTTTTTTTTTTTTTTTTTTTTTTTTTTTTTTAGACAGAGTCTCACTCTGTCACCCAGGCTGGAGTGCATGCAGTGCAGTGATCATGGCTCACTGCAGCCTCAACCTCCCAGGCTTAAGCGATCACCACACCTAGCTCTTTTTTTTTTTTTTTTTTTTTTTTTTTTTTTTTTTTTTTTGAGAGACAGCGTCTTAGCGTCTTCTCAAGCTGGTCTCTAACTCCTGGCCTCAAGCGATCATCCCACCTCTGCCCCACAAAGTGCTAGGATTACAGGCATAAGCCACCTAGCCCAGCCTGTTTGTTGCCCAATTGTTCATTGCTTTGTAAGACTTGGATTTCTAGCCCCAGCAAAGAACAGGGTCAGGTTTTGTCGTTCCTGTTTTCTGTCTTTCCCTAACATTGACATATTTTTAAGGTATAATTTACATATGATAAACACCCTTTTAAAAGGTATCATTTGGCTGGCTCAGGCCTGTAATTCCAGAACTTTGGGAAGCTGAAGCAGATGGATCACCTGAGGTCAGGAGTTTGAGACCAGCCTGACCAATATGGTGAAACCCCGTCTCTACCAAAAATACAAAATTTAGCAGGGCTTGGTGGCGCACGCCTGTAGTCCCAGCTACTCAGAAGGCTGAGACAGGAGAATTGCTTGAACCCAGGAGGCAGAGGTTGCAGTGAGTTGAGATCATGCCATTGCACTCCAGCCTGTGTGACAGAGCGGGACTCCGTCTCAAATATAAATAAATTAAAAAATTAAAATTAAGCATATCGTTTGATGTGCTTTGACAAATGTGAACACCTGAGTAACTACCACCCCCTACAATCAAATACAGAACATTCCCATCCACTCACAAAGTTCCTCACCTCACTTCCCAGTCAGTGCTCACTACCTCCAGCCTCAAGCAGCCTTGACCTTTCCACAGCTGCTGGTCACATTCCACTTTTCTGGAATTTCATGGGAATGAAATGAGTACACTGTATGTACCCTTTTGTGTCTGGCTTTTCCCCCTCACTGTAATGCTTTTGAGAGAAATACATGTTATTCTGTGTATCTGCAGTTTCTTGTATTGCCAAGTCACATTCCATTGTCTAAATAGAGGCACGATTTATTCATCTGTTGATGAACATTTGAGTCGTTTTCAGGTTTGGCTATTAAAGCTCCTCCAGATGTCTGTGTACAAGTCTCTGTTTGGACACATATTTTCACTTGGGTAAATACCTAGAAGTAGAATTGCTGGGTTTAAAAACTGCCAAACATTTCCAAAGCGGTCACATGGACATGCGATATAGTCAGTCTTTTCAGCTCTAGCCCCTCTAGCGGGCGTGGCTTACAATGCTGAGCCAGTTTTTATTTGCTTATTGGGCATGTAACTTCTTTTGTGAACTATCTGTTCAAATATTTTGCCCATTTAAGAAATGGGCTATTAGCCGGGCGCGGTGGCTCAAGCCTGTAATCCCAGCACTTTGGGAGGCCGAGGCGGGTGGATCACGAGGTCAAGAGATCGAGACCATCCCGGTCAACAAGGTGAAACCCCGTCTCTACTAAAAATACAAAAAATTAGCTGGGCATGGTGGCGCGTGCCTGTAATCCCAGCTACTCAGGAGGCTGAGGCAGGAGAATTGCCTGAACCCAGGAGGCGGAGGTTGCGGTGAGCTGAGATCGCGCCATTGCACTCTGGGTGACAAGAGCGAAACTCCGTCTCAAAAAAAAAAAAAAAAAAAGAATATTAATAGCCCATTTCTTTTTTTTTTTTTTTTTTTTTTTTTTGAGACGGAGTTTCGCTGTTGTCACCCAGGCTGGAGTGCAATGGCGCGATCTCGGCTCACCGCAACCTCCGCCTCCTG